CTTCACTCGAATGCTGAGAGCTATACTTAAACATCTCTTGGACACATAGCTCTATGGACCCATCTCTGATTATTTGTACAATTTCAAGAGAAATCAGAATGCACAGAACACTTCTGTCAAATAAAACAAGAATTCTCAAGTGATCTACAGTTCTAGATGTCAGCCATGGAGCAAGACGGGTTGGCTGCCCAGCAAACACCTACATTGACCATCTATGACACAGAATGGCCCTCTAATGACCTTGGTGCAGGTTTGGTTTGTCTGTTTTACCAGTATATCAACCCTCGTGGGTCATTTAATTTTATTCAGTAATATTTTAGAAAGTTCTAAGTTTTATAATTCATGAAATATAATCGAAAACTGGTTGTATAGTTTATCTATAGGTGAAGTTGTCTAAGTTAAAGTTTAGTGTATAATTTAGTTTTCTTCAAATAGGTCAAAATGGTTTTTACATTAACATTTTTGATAAGCTCTTTAAGACTATTCACCTTATAAAGGAGTTTATAAATAGAGGCAAATTCAGCACAGTCCATCATAAAATGTTTTACTGTGTATGTCTTCTGGCATACTATGCATTTAGGTGGATCCTCATCTTTTAGAAGGAATGAATGTGCGATGTTGGTAGGACCAGTTCTGATTCTTGCTAAGATGACTATTTCTCTTTGGAAAATACTGGCCTTGATATAGGACTGTGATAGTTGACATGATAAATTCATCAATGTCTGAGCTAGGTCAACCAAATAAAAAAAATAATTGTTAGTCACATTTCAGTCCTTGTAATGTTATTATACAGACTAATAAGAACACAAGACTAAATCTTGCATATGTAACATTGTTGTTTATACCTACCTGGACTTCGATTAGTGAGTGGGTGTATGACTTTGGGTATTTTTCTCTGAATATGGATCAAGAATGTGGGAGAGTGTCTTTTCCCTATCATCCAATTGTTCTACATGTGCATCCTAGGCATAGTTCAGTTAACTACATATTTATACATCAGAAAACCATCTCCTCTTCCCAGCTATGGGTTAAATAACAGGATTTGTTTCTGGAAAAAAATCAATACATTATCTCCAAAACTAAATTGTTAATGTCATTAACTTGCATAAAAAAAAAATACCTTTATAATCTAAAATATGATTAGGCTTTAAATAACCCACAAAGAGTTGCTAAGTCGTAAAAAACAAATTGATCAATCAAAAATTGCAAACATAAGTGATAATCACTGACATTCTGTGAGGTATGAATCTAAACCTGATGGCTGGGAGGTCACCTTCCCAGGAACCTTCTGATGCACCCAGCTTCTCTGATGCTCTAGGATGGTACTGAATTCAAAGTCTACTGTTATCTCTCAGAGTGAGCCTTGTATATATATTGTGCTATTCACAGGTCAACTTCTCCTAGAACAAAGATTCCTTACTGACATTAAATTTGATTCAGAACATCTGGTATTTCCTGGCATAGATCATATATTAGAGTATTCTCCAAACATCTGTTACATTCAGCAACAGTTACAAGGTATCTCCCAGCCTGGAAAGATGAGGATATTACTCTCAATAGTATATGTACAATAATGACATGAAAAGTATTTTTATATATTTATAAAATCTATAATGATAAAAACAATTATAACCAAATACAAATCAAATTACATGAAATATTAAAAACCAAAATAGATTGAGAGAAAGAGAAATCAATAATAAAAATATATAAAATTCTGTGTCTTCCATTAGTCTATCCTTCACATCCTCTAAATTGCCATACATTGACTGATCGAAATCAAATTTTGGGGAGTAGTGCAATCAGGTAAGTGGGTACAAAGTACACTTAGTTTTACTAAAGTGTGTAGCTTAGTACAATAAATTTTCATTAATTTTTTTTGAAAAATTAAAAGTGTTATTTAATATAGAAAATACTCACTCCCACTATTTTAAAAACAATTTAATGATTAAAATAACAAATACTTATTTAATAAAAATGCAGTACTGTTTTTTGCATATCATGTAAGTTATATATATAAGAATCCAACTTGCCCTGCATTTACATGAACTATAAGCAAATCAGAAGGCCAAACACTTTAAAATGTTGAAATTTGTATCCAGAAAGAAATATTTATGTATGGCCAGTTGTATGTTGCATGCTCATGAGTAAGAAATCTTAAGAATTTATTCTTCACTGTTAAAAAAGAAAAAAAAAGAAATTTTCTTAAAAAAATATTGTTTAGCATGAAGTCCTTCCTATAAAATTAAAAAGAATATTAAACTGCACAGTAGCTTTTTTGTCAAAGTATTTTTCCAAATAAAAAAAGGCTTATTCAAATTTAATTCCATTGGTTCACAAAATTCAAAACAGTTTATAAATCTCAACAAAAAATGTTAGCAATACCGTTAACAATATTAAATACAGTGAGGATTTCAACACGTATGAGCATGTTGTAAAAATTTCCAGTATAAAAAAAAAAAAAAAAAAAGAAAGAGAGAGAGAAATTGCAAATTTAAGGCTTAACAAGCAATAAAATGTTTCTTCATAAACAAATCATCTATTTTCTATTTTTGCTTTATTGACATCATTTAAAAAAAAAAAAAAAGAAATGGACAACAACAATAATGATATTTTCAATACAGCTTTCTGAATTTTAGGAACAATTAAATTGAAATTGGATATTTAAATTTGATACCCTCTAAGTCAAAACTGTCCCTCTCTCCCATAATGGAAATTGACCAATAAGGGAAGAACAAATCCAAAATGAATAATTGAAAGAAAACCAAAGCCAAATTTCAGAAAAATGTGTCAAAACCAAGATAACTTGTTAACACAAAACACTTTACCATAAATCTTTGCAAGTTCTTCATACTAAGACAACCATGTAAGGATCCCTGATTTTTACTGTACATAAATATAATAACCACAATTGTTATTTGTTGAGGAAAAAAAAAAAAAAAAAAAAAAAATACCTAAAATTTAAATGCTTATTTGAAGCTAACTGTTTCAATTAACAGAGTACAGCCATTTTATATCTAGTTATCCATGCTATCTATTCAACAAGTAATGGTTGAAAAATAAAGTTTGGTACTTGAAGAACCGAACATCTCTTAAACGATAAAATTGTAAGCTTTTAACCTGCTTCTCATCACCCAAAACTAACAAGTCTTTGAAAATGGCAGCTTCATAGCTTGAAGCTATTGTAGTTATATAAAAAAAAATGTGAATATGTACAGAATGAACAACAGGAAGGAGAAAGAAAAGTCATTCCATTATTAGCTATTCTGTTTTTTTTTTTCTTTTTTTTTTTTTGCTAGAAAATCCCAATATGGTGAAGAAAGGAACAAAGAAAATAAAATTCATCACCACCACCACAACAACCATACAGGACTTGATAAGGACTTCATGACAACCCAATTTAATCTAGAATGTAACAAGTCTTTCTTTTTTCTTCTTCTGTCTTAGTATTTATCTTTGTGTCTACCTCTCAAAGTCAATTGTCCATTACAAAAAAGTATATGTTGAGAATAAGGCACCACCTTCCTTCAGTAAAAGCAGAAAAGGAAAAACAAATTTGAAACTAGGTTGTGAAATAAAAATTAAATAAAACCTAAAAAGAAATTATTGTTTTCAGAGCTTTAGTTAACAGAGTTCTTCCCTCAATAAAAGACTACAAAATATAGTTTGTTATTTATTCATTTATTTGCATATCTATAACATGCATACAACTTTCTCTCACTCAGCACACAAAGATGCTTCAATGTGGGTAATGGTTATCAAGTTAGATTTCTTCTATATGCCATGCCCCCTTAGGGAATAGGCAATCATGACTATCCATAATTTCCTGTCCTTTGTAGCTCTTAATAAATATGACCTTTTTGTTATTTCTCCTAAACCTTGTTCCGCCATCCATTTACTCAAGCTTACAAAGTAAGTTAGAGATCATTTTCTTCTTTCCTTGCTTTCTTGTCCTTTGAGTATCAGATTTTCTAATCCCTCTTCATTATGTGCCTTAGAAATTTCAACAATCTCTACCTTAGGTTAAGAATCCTTTTTATTTCCATTTTCTCTAAGCGTTTGTTGTTGTCACATGTTTGGTTCATAGTATTCACAGCATCCTTCTGTAGAACCACATTTCTCTTGCTTCAAGTTTCTTCTTGATCATTGAGGAGCTTGTCCAGCATTCACTGGATGGCAGACATCACGTAACAGTTCAGTACCCTTTCTTTGCTGCTAACAAAATTTTCCAGTTTGTTAATACTTTGCTTAGCTTTTGGAAGGCTCTTTCGCTATCTCAATGCACATTCAAATATCAATGTCACACTTTCTGTGCCCTGTTAAAACACTTCCCAGACTAAACAACCATTACAGCTGAGTGGTGAGTTTAATCTGATCTAGGTGAACCATATGTGGCCTTGTGCCAAAACTAAGCTAAACAGCAAAAAAACATTTATATGCAAGAACTTGGGGTTTCAGTTAATAAAAATAAAAATGACATGTAGAATTGAAATTATTCTATAACTTAATTACAGATGAAAATCAAGGGAAACGCCAGAGTTCATTTACAAGGCAATCTCCAGTAAAACAAATTTTAACAAATCTCCTCCTCTATAATCTCCTTACAGATGAAAAGAAGACTGAAAGCAACAGGAATGCACTGCTACAGAAGGATACTGAGAATACCATGGACAGAGTACATAAGCAATGAAAAAGTTTTAAGAAAAAGGAAAATAAAAAAGACAAAATCAGTAAGAGCTGAAATTTCTCGGACACAAATCGATTGATTTGTTTTCTACAGCTTATCAACCCTTTGCTTATTATTTTTAGATTGCATGAATTACTTTTGGAGATAATAATGGTTTAGTGATACAAGTGTTACTAATTAACCCATAGGTAGGTGAAAAGAGGTGGATTCATGCCTTTGTCAAATTAATACAATGAACCCAACTGGAATTGGAAATCAGCTCTCCAATTAACAATTCCAAGCCTTTACCCATTATATCAGATGCACATCCAAGCTTACAGCACCTGGTATTCCCAAACGATCACCCGTCTAGCTACTGATCAGATTCAACACTGCTTAACTTCTGTGATCATATGAGAATCAGTGTTTCAAAATGGACATATATTGAGGAAGGAGGGCTTGAAGGGACAAGGGGAAGTGGTGAGCCACTTACCTGTTCAGCTTATATTAGTGAATGGCAAAAGGACGAATGTTAAGAGTTACAAAGGATAGGAGGTTGTGGAGAGCCGTGATTACCCATGTCCTGAAGGGACATGGTGTATAGAAAAATAATCTTGAAATTAGTCATTACTATTACAGGAGTTACTAATAAAATTAATACTTTTACTTTAACTATTACTATATTTCAACCAATAACTATTGCTATTTTCAGATACACAATCCATAGAAAAAGATTTTTTTTTTTTAGCAGGAGGTGGGATCTGTATATAAAATTGCGATAGATTGGTTTATTCAGTAAATTTGGATCATTTTCTGGTTTTCACTAAAAAGAAACAGACACATTTTCTATACAGATTGTGTACCTGAAGAATGCCACAGAATAAATTGGCCCAAACATTGTGGTCCCAACATTATGCAAATAGCGATCACTTGAACAATTCATGGAAAACAAAATATTTTACATGATATTTTCAAACAATCAACAAAATGTGTCAATTTAATCAGTATTTAAACATGACTATGAAATTCTTAAATTGTTTTCCTTTAATTATATTTTCTGCATGACTAAACAAGGATTTTATCAATTAATTCTATAGTCACAATTAAGAAAAGAATTCAACATTTCAAATCCTTAAAAATAAAAAATATCAAAAGAAAGCGAACACTAAATAAAAAATAAAAAGCAACGTATTAACAACCTGGTCTACCTTACTTACTAATTAGATATTTTGTTGCTATGGCAACAAGAAATGCCTTCAGTAACTATCTCATTGCTAAAAAGAGAAAATCAGGTTGCATGAATGATATATAAAGTCACATTGTGATTTTATATTAAAAAACAGACAGGCAGGCTAAATCTTATATAAAATGTGTCTTCTATTCAGTTACTGCTAAACAAAGCTTTCTTTGTCAAAAAGAATGTTCAACATTCCATGTTATGCTTATTATTTGAGAAGACAATATAAAAAGGTCTTTTGTGTAAATGTATCAAATTTAAACTGTACATCTGATTATCACTCAAAAAAATCTCGAAGTTTGATATCCAAATGTTTTCTTATCACCTTGTTAGGACAGTTATTTATTAAGCAAAGATTGAAGCCAGGCATACATTTGCTTGTCAGAGTTAAAATTTCTAAAGCCAACAGGACAGAAACGAAATAAAATTTAAAATATTTAATCTGAAATCTACTACAAACGTTTATTATTTATAAAATAAAAAAAGCAACTATCTTATTTCTATGATCTCATTACAACAGACCACATCATACATTACACTTTAACCCATGAACTCTAGGAATTTGGAAAAATTTCCATCATTCACATTTATGTCACTAATGAATGAGGAAAATTCCTCTGCTGCTGTATCTATCTATATTTCTGAGATGAGGTATTATGTACACTATTTACATTATTCGGACTATTGTCCTCATCTTTGTCACCATATTTGTCTCCTGCTTAATTCCCTCACCAAGTTCTCTAACACCTTTATCCACTGTGCCAAGTGTCCTCAAGGACACATGGCACAGCGGATAAAGGCGTTAGTTAGGACTCAAAGAGTGTGAGTTCAATACCTAGTTAAGGCGGTGGAGAATTTGGAGAGGAATTAAGCAGGAGATAACTGACATCTATTAAACATGGCACTAGAACAGTCTACCCCAGTGAGCAAAATAAAGGGTTCAGTTCGATATTCCAACCACCTGAAGAAAGCCGGAGCGTACAACAGCCGAAATGTTGTAATAAATATGGCAACAAAGATGAGGACAATAGTCCAAATAATGTAGTGTCCTCTCCTGCTGTTGTCATACTTATACATCTTTACTAAACTTATATCATCTCCTGTCAGCAGACACATTTTCAAGATACCATGAAATACTAGTCCATATCATTTGTATTGTAAGCACTTAATGCTATTTCCAAATCAGCATAAACATAGAGTGTATCCATATGAAACCAAAAAATAATTTCTATAGTCATTTATTACCAGTAAATGATAATTTCTTATTTTTCCAAAAATGGGCCAGCAAAGCCAGGCAACAATACTATAACAATGGATCTAGTCAAATCCATCTTAGTCAAGTTGAGCTTCAGTATGCAGTTCCAGATTAATAAAAAAAAATAAATAAAATAATCAAAACAAAAGTGGACGGACAGGTCCATCTACGAAACTCTGGAGTCAGGATGCTGAAGGTAACCATAATCAAGTAAGTGACATTCTATTCACATTATATATATATATATATAGGCTATGGGCCTTCATCAAGATGCAAGAAATCATAGTTCTCCATAACTTCCTAAGTTTTTCTAATGATAGAAAAAATACCAAATATTTTAAAAGAAAGAAGAAAAAATGTGGAACATGATCACAAGTTCCTTAAACCATGAGGGTTGTGGGGTTCTACATGTAGTGTTGCCATAAAAGGAATGGATATGTCTAGAGCAAGATAGCCTAATGGAACCCATTCTTCTACAGGCTGGTCTTGAATTTGTGTCTCCTAGGCTGACTGCCACTCAAGACAAGAGAGCTCAATCTGTGATTTAATCTATATGCCCTGTGATTTAATCAATAGTTTGTAGAAAATGGATTCATGCCTTTTCCAAGGTCATTAATGCTAAGTGAACAAAACAAACTGGATTAGAATTTGGACTCGGAATGCTGACTTCATTTTGTGTTGATAACCATTATGCTACATACATGGCCATACAGAGACAAATTACATTTTAGATATGCAAGCATGGACAAAAATTGCCCACTCCTGACAACCAATGTTACAAAGGTATCAGAATATCCCAGCCCTCTCCTCCTTGTGCAATGGATAGGTGCTATCTCATTTTTTTGCCTGGGGGAGATAATGGATGCAAACAGGAAAAGATTCTGTATTTGGATTCAATTTAAAGACCAATCTGAAGTAGAGGACACACTCTCTGATCTTAGGTAAAGCACACAGATACTACACTGATCTTAAACAAAAATGCCAATCCATATATAAATAACAGCCATTTTTATGGGTACTATGCTACTTTTGAGCAATTGGTTAGTCACTTATATCAAGGCATCAACAATTTTGATCAGTCAGATATGGAGGTTGATAAAATTGACAGAGGAAAAGGGGGAAACAATAGACCTTTGTTTTAACCAGATGTAACCTTGATGTTGCTGATTGCAACAACCTAATAAATACTGAATATTCACCAATCTACATACTCTTTCAAAGGAAACAAATAAATTTTCATAGGTCAATAACAAAATGAGTAAATGCTGATTCATTTCTAAAAGTGACAAGTTTGCAACAATAACAAGATTGATTTGATATAAATTTAGCTTTAAGAAATGCACCCAAAGGCAGAAATTAATGGACAAATAAAGCACCAAAGAATTTTTACTGGGTTAAGATCTCATCATTTGAAAAGTGGAACTGGTTAGATGTAGCCGTAAGTTTTATACTAACAGTTTATTTTCTCACACTTCTCACCTGTCAAACTCCCTTCCAGTTCCATGCTTTCCAGCCAACTTTAATCTGCAAAAATTTAAATGTCATGCCAATTGCTATTATCCTGCTGATTACTCTTTTCTCTTCCCAATCATTATTAATATTTCTGTTCCTAATTCTTCCACACCCTGTAACCTCTTGTGTCTTCATGACTTTACAGCCTTGTATAGGGTGATACAGATTTAAAAAAAAAAAAAAAAAAATCATTACCCTTGAACAAATTTTTGCTAAACTACTGTGACCAAGAAAGAATTAATATCTGTTATACCTATGAAGTGAATATGTGGGTAGTGTAATGGCCAGTGGCTCAGAAAGAGAAATTAGTAAGCCAAGTTTAAAATTCCAACAGTGTTTTTTGCATTCACTTTCACACAAAAGGTAATAAAAGGAAAGGAATAAAACTAAGTCATCTCTCCTTAGCTTTGGGTTAAATCACAGGGTTAACTGGGTATCTTGAGATGACAACCAGCCTAAGAGAAGAAAAACTGAATTCAAAATCAGCCTGAAGAGATGGGCCCCATCAGCTTATCTTGCCATAGACGGACCACTGTTGCTATAGCTACAGAAGATCTGGTGATCCGATGACCAGAATGGGTTATGAGAAACCCATAAAACCCTGATAACACAAGGAAAAAAATCTGTTTGCTACCCAGTTAAATGATGCATACAAGTAAACTGATTCCAAGTTTCTGTTTGCAGCTTCTTATAGTACAGCAAGTTTTTTGAGTTATGCACATGGTATATCTATATTAAAATAATCATCCAATAGTATAATGATAATATTAGTTGTTTCCTTATAAGGAAAGATTAAGCATTCATTGACTAACTAGTCAGTGCTACTTTCAGTTCAAAATTAATAAAATCTTTCTATCAAAATAATTTATTAAAATCTTACTAAAACAATTTTTAGAAAAATAGGTTTCTTAAGTCAACTTATCACCCATCCAAGTAATGAATGGGGGAAGAGGAATCCTCCCCAAGTTTTTGTTCAGTGTTAGGAAGAACATCAACATCTTGACTGTCATTACTTTCACTTTGAGTTGCATATGATATCCATTTTAGTTGTTTCTGCTGTTGAAAGTCAAGGAGTTATTAATTTAAAAAATTAGTAATTAATGTATATTATTATCCATTACTACATATACAAGATTGCCATTTTTGATAAAAGTTTAAAAAAAAATAATCATAAATATGTCATTTCAAGAAACTTCCGATATACATTCTTTGATATGCTATTGGAATCATTATCAAATCATACTGATTTTCAGCTTCTATGAGATCAAAGTTATATAGAAATGACATTAATAATTTGTGTTTTTTAATGGCTTATCAACCCTTTGTAGGTTATTTAAAGCCAAAACATTTTAGGGTGCAAGAACAATACAGCATTAAAAATGTTTTGAGAATAAGAATGATTTTCCAGATACAAGTTCTACTATTTAA